CTGTGCAATAGTTGATCATCCCATCTCTGATACATTGCAATTGAACTTGGGACAGTTAAGCAAAATTTATTAGGATTATTGAACAGCTTCCATATTGGGAGGAATGGAGATACTATTGCTTGGGATAACAATGCCAACCTAATGCAAAAAATGTCAGTTTACCAATAGAATTTTGTTAAACATCTATTCTGCCTTTTCACATGTGACTTCATGCATCACATTTTTTAATGTGGGAACCTACAGATCAGACAAATAAAGAAGAAAAATGTCTAGGTGCTAGAAAGATGGTTTATGCCAGACCCAGCACAGTTTTGGCAGAAATTCTTCCTTTGGGACACCCCTCTAGCAGCAATTATCTAATACAAGTTACTTTATAGTGACTCCAAAATTCACCTAGAGTTGTTCTTTCTTCTTGTTCTCCTCCTGCTGCTCTCCCTTCGTTTCTTTGGTCTATCAATGGTGACATCTCCTTTTTTTGGTTGGTAAACTGAAGATACTTTTAAGTGTACCTCTGAAAAAGTGGGAAGAGTAACTGTGATAAATGTGCTTGCAAAACTCATATATTATACCGGTATGCTTGACAGGAATGTGTGATTGGCTGCCGCTCCATTTAGTACACACTTAGTGGCAAACTTGAGTTTACCTCTGCATAATGCTGAAAATAACGCTCAGGCTCAGGACGAGGAAGCTGCCATGTGCACACATTTCTGTCCGCATCCCACATGTGTTAAGAGTTTGCTTCAAGTGGACATTGAAGTATAAGGCATTTATTCCACCATTTTATCCTTTGGGAAATGATTGTTAACTATAAAGAGACACAGGAAGCTACCCTATATAGAATTGGACCACTGGTCAATCTAGCTCAATATTGTCTACACTGACTGGCAGTGACCTTCCAAGATGTCAGGCAGGGGTCTCTCCTAGCCCTATTTGGAGATGCTGGTGATTGAACCTGGGCAGTTTGGCATACCAAACATGTGCTCTACCACTGAGTTACAGACCTTCAAAATCATTTTTAAAGTCACACCCAACTTCAAAAAATATTATGGTATTAGTGACCTTTTGCAGCTAAAATCAAGCTGTTCTTGGGTTGCTGTCCCCCCTCCCTTCCACAGACCATACAGGAATAAGTCTCCCTTAGTATGGTTTGCTGTAATGTCTCCCTACAATGCTTGTTGAAAAGTTGATTTTGTACTATTTGCTTTAGCACTGTTTGGCCAGGAGTTATTATATGGCTCAAGTACTGGCAGAGTTGAAAGCCATGCCTGTTTGGGCAGAGAATAAAAAAAGAAAATGGTGTTTTACTCTTAGCCAAGCAACTTAAGCTTGAAAACCAACACTTGCTTCTCTGAATGTGTTATCAGTCAATATTAGTTAATGCAGCTTGGACATTGTGCCTTCTGAATGATAATGGCAATGAAACCCCTCTGTAATGTTTGCCTCCTTATATTGTCCGTTAATCAGTATCCTTTGGCTTTTTCTAGCAATATATTGTGTTCTTTTACACCTAATCTCTTTAATAAGGTTCTTCCATTTTTATTGCCCTCTAATTTTATTCTCTGTGGAAGGTGTGAACCTATAGCTTTAGAAAATGAGGCTTTAGTATTTATGTAATAACTATAACAAATGAAGAATCATGAACTGTTTCGTTTTATGAATAATCTAGAGAGATCCCATTCTTCTTCCTTTTTAAAAAAGAGTTCAAATGTCCCATTTTCTGAGCCAGCTATGAGCACTGTGATTTAAAGAATCAGTATTTACACAAAACAAATTTGTGTGGATGGAAGAACGGGTGGTGTAGTTCAAGCAGAATAACAGCTGTACAGTGGTACCTCAGGTTAAGTATTTAATTCGTTCCAGAGGTCCGTTCTTAACCTGAAACTGTTAACCTGAAGCACCACTTTAGCTAATGGGGCCTTCTGCTGCCGCGCCGCCACAGCACGATTTCTGTTCTTATCCTGAAGCAAAGTTCTTAACCTGAAGCACTATTTCTGGGTTAGCGGAGTCTGTAACCTGAAGCATATATAACCTGAGGTACCACTGTATGTGGCAGGCTAAGGGTGAATATAGTTACCGCTTCCCAAGTAGTTACTTACTATTCCCCAATGGTTTGACTTCACCCACAAAGGCACACTCCATTGTCCCTGAGACAGACAGATGCCAGCCAACTGCTACTACACAGTAAGCCATTTTAATATAACACCTTTCCCAATGTTGTGGAGAGTATTACCACTCCCCTGGATTTCTGAACAGCTGCAGGAAAGTCTGGTAGAATTTTCCTCATTGTTCGGTAGAACCAGCTTGCCGAAAGGCCAAAATATGAACACTGTAGTAGATTACCATTTGGTAAAGTGTTGCCTATAGTCATCCTAGCCTGAGATTGATGATGCACTGGAGAGAGAGCATTTCCTTTGTAAATATGCCATCCATAGTACTTTCTGACTTTATCGCCTGTCATGCTGACATCTGACTGTACACACACACACACACACACACATACATACATACATACATACTGTGGCTGTGAATAAATATAGTGTATGTCTGGTTCAAACAATGCTTTCTCTCTCTACCTGTATTTGCAGTCTACTGCAGAGAGAAAGCATTGCTTGAACCAGACTGTTGTCATGATCAAGTTATTGATTGCCAGCGAACATGCTGCATGTGTGGTGTGCTGTTGGGGGCTAATGACAGTCTTATCCTTGTTCTCCTAGAGGAGGGAGGAAATTGGCTCACCTGCCTGACCTGTAGACATTTAATTCCATCCAGGGCAGTGGCAAGAGGGGGGCAGGAGGTTAGGCAGGCAATGTGCAGCCAATTTCACATAATCCTTCCACCTCCTTGGGTAACTTATCTGTGCTGTTTAAAATGACAGCAACTCATATAAATGGGGAGCCATTTTCTGTCTCTCTGTCAGCTTCAGCTCTGAACTGTGGCCAACAAGAACATTCGTCCCACCTCACCGGACCCCCTTCAGATAAATAATCACGATAATAAAGGCCAGACCTCAGAAGAAGTTACCACTTAAAGAATAGGCTGCCAAGCCAGTGTAGCCCCAAGAAGTATGGGAGACTCAGCGGCCCTTGACAACAAATGAGTGCACTGGCTTCCTCATAAACACCTCAGTCTGAAGCCAGGAAGTTTATGGGTATGAGAGATGTTTATTGTCTTGTACTTACTCTGCTGCTGCTGGGTTATTGCTTAAGTCAAAATAATAATAATAAAAAGTGTGTGTGTGTGTGTGTTGCAGTTTATTTTTGTGAGCAGACTGAGCTCCCTGCAGTCTGTGTGGCTTCACTGTGAAGTCCTTAAATAATCTGCTTGCTAAGAAAAGGGGGAGAGGAAAACAGCTTGGCATTGGTCTGGCTGTATAATATACGTCTAGCTAGAACAAGGATCACCCTATTAAGTAAAAAAAAACCTCCAGCACAGCTCCAGAAGGAATCATACTAGTGAAACAACTGGGTCTTCACCTTGAAGCTACTTCACACACACACACACACACACACACACACACACACACAGTCCTCCTTGACTAGCTGTGTGGAGAAAGGCTGCTGTGAACTGTGGGGAGCTGGCTGCCATTTCCATGATCACATTTGCTGGAAACCGTGTGCTTGGTTTACACCAACCTTACACTGTGTGCTGGTGTAATTGCACAGTCTTGTGGAAGAGTTTGCTAGTGTGAACTGGCCTTTTAGGGAGAAGGGGTTTTTTTTGCAGAGAATGAATGGGCAGACATGTCCCATTTTCAGCAAAAGGCTGTGGTAGAGAAGTAGGAAAGCAGCTGCTTACGAAGACAGAGCAAGGACTGATGGCTTCAATTTGCAGCTATACATACTTATACAGTAGTGTAATACATGTCTGCTCAGAAGCAAGCACCATTGGGTTCAATGGGACTTTCTTCCAGGTAAGTGTGCATAGGATTGTACCCTTAGATGGATTATCCAGAAATGTTTTTCTACCTGCAGAAGTTAGTTGAGCAGGGTAGTCAAAAGAGGCTATGGACTCTCCTTCCTAGTAGACAATCACTTCTTTCTGAGGAGGCTTACAAGCCCAGGGTGTCTTGGAATTGCAAGTAGCTGGAGTGGACAATTTCAGGGTTCCTTCCAGCTTTAGGTTTGTCCTTTTACCTTCCTCCCCTTCCACCTCGCCCTCCTCATATATTTCAATTATCATTGTAAAGCCATCCTTGGGCAGGGGAAAAACAAGTTGTCTTGGGGAAATTGGAAGCATCACGCCTTCTGGCCAGTGGTGTAGCATGGGTTGCCAGCACCCAGGGTAAGGCAAGTATTGCATCCCCTTACTGGTGCCTCCATGTGGCACTGCTGCTGCCGCCATACAGAGCTGCAGTGCAGCAGGACATGTGTCCATGCCTCCTCAAGCTGGGGCACTGCCACCCCCCTAAGACTTGCTGTCCGGCCAAGGGACGCCACGCAGCTAAGGGATGCAAGGGACTCGACTCTCCCAGCTCCTCGGTATGCTGCTCAGGTGAGGCGGGTGGGTGGGATGGGAAGCACCTCTGGTCGGGGTGGCAGCTGCAGAGACGTGCCCCTAATTTTTTTTTGCACCCAGGGAAATCACCCTGGTACTCTCTCCCCCCTGCCCCCCATGCTGTGCCTATTTTCTTTTAGTATACATATCATGACCCCCAATTTCAGATGCCATTGTTGGTCTCTGTAAAGAGTGTGCAGTGCCTTGCATGACTCCAAGGTACCTACCTTTGCTTAGAGTGTGCTCTACTGGGATATGAAGAATCATTCCTTGAGATTGCATTCCCACCCACCCATCTCAGTCGTATTTTTTTGGCATTCACTTACAGGACAGTAGCAACAGGGAGACTTGACGTCATTGTTTAAAATGCTTGTCATTTTAAAAATACACTTTCCTCTCGTGTGGGGGGTCCTATTAAGAGCTTTATTGTATAGCAATAGGTGTTCTCCATAAATCACTGACTTGTTCTCTCTTCCCTTTCTCTCTTCCTTCACTCTGTCGCTCAGCCTGTGGATTTGGATGCCTGGGTAAGCTCCTGTTCTCCCCTGCATGCATATAATCTTCCCCTTTGAATTAGCTGCGAGATAAAGTAAAGAAATAACAGAGTATCACGTCGTTACTACACATATACAATTGTCATTGCTGATGCAGGGCTTTATTTTTTGTCATTACAATTTAAAAAGATGTTAAGCCAGAAAATCACATTTTATTCATAAAATATTTTCTGTAGGTTTTGAGGGGTATAGTGATACTTGCAGCTGCTGGTACCAAACTTGATAAGATGGGTTGACCAGCCAAACCTTCAGGTAACTGAATGGATGGAATATAAAGTTGTCTTGGTGGCTGGTTGTTCAGAACTCATTTGGTGCTCCCTTACCCTGTAGTAAAATCTTCCTTTTTCTTCTTTCTTTCAAAATGGTTTGGAGACCTAAATGAATTATGCTGATGGGAAATAGAGAAGACAAAGAACTTAAGAAAGACTTGGCAGGCCTGAGAAGCCTGGTGTAATAAGTGAGAAGTCTATCAAATACTTCTGAAGGGCAGAAAGCAAACTAATGGAGTGTAATCCTTATTTGTAGTCCTCTGCCTTCTTTCAGCCTTGTGTGCCAAGAACCATATTCACTTGGTGTACCTTGCAAGTTTGGAATTTATTTAGCATCCTTTTTAAAAGACAGATTTCTAGCTCTCCTGATGCAGAGGACAGTCTGGTAACCCAGCAGACTGGTCTACAGACTGGGTCTAGTTTTGTACTGCTAGCTAGTCATTATTTTCTAAATGGGCCAGACGTAGCACAATATACTACTGACAAGCATTATTGCCAAGGGAAGATTTAAGAAATAGAAGAACAGATGGAACTAATCAAATGGGTGCTGTCTGTTGTGAGTACTCAGTAGTGATGAAGAGATATTCTGTACATGCTCAGTATAAAAATAAATAAATCAATAAATCAAGACTATAGTTTCATCATAATTTAATTGATTTACCCTGTGAGCAAATCCCATTCTATAATATACTGGTGGCTTTGTCTTTGATCATCCAACAAGCTCTATTGACTTGGATCTTAAGATAACTTAACAGCAGGAATATTTTCCATCACCTCTTTCCTCCTGCAGCTACTTGTGTCCCCCCTTCAAAAAAACAAAACAAACAAACAAACAAACAAAAAAACCTTCTCTGGAGGGTTCAGGGCCTGTTCCTGAAGAATATGGGATGGAGTGTAGGAGGGTGCTGGGATAAGGAGAAATTACCCCAAATCAGAATTGAGTCCTAGAGGTAGATAACTTAAGGAAATTCACAGAAGTTTCCAATCCACTCCTTTCTCTTACACACATACCCACAGCCTACCCCATATTGTCCAGGACCTAAGGCCAGCCCGAGGCATTTTGGCACCTGAGGCGAACCACAAAATGGCGCCCTCCTCCCTGTCAGAGAAGAAGGGGTATGTGAAGATCTACATCAGGAACAAGGGATCTGCCACCCCCATACATCCAGCTGCCTGAAGCAGTCACCTCACCTTGCCTCATGGGTGGGCTGGCCCTGTTAGGGGCAGGATTCAGCTCTTTTTGGAAAGGGTGGGGAGTACACAGGAAGCTGTAGAAAGAGACTGGAAACTTTCTAATTAGAATTGGTATGTAACATTTCTCTATCACATTCTCATTTTTTTCTGCTGGTATAAGCATTTTACTCGCAGTGTCTGAAACTTTGTTGGCTACCTGTGGTGTCCATACTCTCTGAAATTGTAATTTTCACAGAAGCCAGCTTGCTTTGGGACATCACAGGGCTTCTGACTTCAGGTGGGGAATAAGTAGCAGGATAAAGTGAGCTCTTAATAAATACCCTGTATTCATACAAAATGTCCCTGATTGCCTAACCCAGTTTTGTAATGTTTGATATGGTGATATTTCAAATGACACCCTCTCTGGGTTTACCAATACATATTTCAAGCATAACAACAATGTGTATTTCAGTTCGCAGTAATAACAGCTGGAGGTGAAGTTAAAAACCAAAAGCATCTTTTTAAGCTGAGCAGAATGTTTTGAGGTTCATTTTCCTTTCTGCCTTAGCTCTCTCATGAGTATCATTTTGAAATGAACATGTTATTGAGAACAAGTCTTAAAGTTGCAAGAACTTTTCCCTCCCTCCCTCTACCACCTCTAATCTATAATGGAAGTCATACTATTGGGCTAGTGGGAAGGCTGAGCAGCAATATTCTGGCATTGCTTTGTCAATACTCCAACCATTTCAGGTTCTCTGTTTTAGATCTTCATCGGTCAGGAATGGAAGCTTTGCATACGATGTTAGTCTCTTGTTGCTTCATTAAATCCTGAGGAAAAGCTGTGATTAGTATGTATTAAAGTTAAGGATATTTATCTTTCATAGCAACTCTTTCTCACACCAAAGGAAGGCATGTGAGGATGTACTTCTGTCTCTCCCATAGTAGCTGGAAGAATCAAAGTATGTTGCTCAGGATGGGAATCAGAAGCAGAAAGCTTCTGCTTTCCCTATTTGCTACGGCCTGGGGGTGTACCTTATAATTATCCTGATCTGGGAGGAAGTGGGAAGTAGAAAGAAGAATTTGCCAACCTAATTTTAATTGGTTTTGAAAAGCCTCATTGGACATGTTAGTCAAACAAACATGGTCTAAAGTAGGGGTAGACAACCTTCTTACTATGTAGGGCCCCATTGCCTCAGGGGATATCTGCCAGGGGCAGCATGCCAGTGGGACCGGGGTCAGAAGTGGGCAAAGACAGAGCCAAAGACAGATGGGTTACCCCACTTTCTATCTCTCCAGTGTTCCTTTTCTGCCATCCTTTATTACTCATTTCTGCTACCACCTTTTCCTTTGTTTTCTCCTCCTTTCCACTCACATTAAATTGGGCTAGGGGCTCCATGCGACCTACCTGTGCTCTAAAGCTATACATGTGCCTGGTGCTTTATTTGAATTAACTGCTAGCTGTATCCTTGATGGCATCATGTGTGCATGGCAATTGAAGTGAGGTTGCTGGGTTCTGGTGAGGGTAAGAACAGGATTTACTGACCTGTGAAGCACCCTCCTCTTAGCATGTTCAACATCCTCTCTGTTTATAGGGATTTGGCTAGGCAAAATTGTTGACTGGTCAAATGCCAACTCTCTGTGACCCCATGGTTTGTCTTCCACCAGAGAAAAATGGAGAAGGAAAAGACTGACAACTTGCATTTTCAGATTTCTATTATTCTCTGTTATTTCTTTTCCTTGGGATGGCAGCTGGCCATAAAATGACAGCTCTGAGCCCACAGGGAACACTTCTGACTGGGCTGCTTAATCAGAGCCAGTTCTGGAGAGGGGGAGGGATAGCAATTCATTTTATGTTACATCTGTCATAGCCCCCTCCCTTATCGTTGGCCTACATGCTTTAGGCAATGATTCATGTGTCCTGTTGTGACAGTGCAATCTGAGTTCTGGGGCCCTTATCACTATTCTCAATTTCGCTCTGAACCTCCTGATTATTATGCAGCTAAGGAATGGTGGGGTGGTGAACAGGAGGAAAGCCTAGAAGGTGCCTTGTGAAGTTCAAAGTGATATCTGGCACCTGCAGGATTCTTAGTTGGAAGCTCATCGGTGCATCTTTGGTTCCTGACAATGATTTGGGAGCCCCCAGTGATCTAGGGTTTGAAGCTAAGTGGGTATGCATCTCATCACCTATCTAGGTCCTGGTTTCTTTCTTAAAATGCAGAAAGCATTCAGACATGGAAGCCTCCAACCTGCAGTCTGAGATGGTACATACCCTGTACTAGTCCAAGACTCTAAAACTTCATTGTGCTCTAGCAGTTCTACTTGCTGTAAGCATGGTAGAGACATCTGGTCACTCCAGGTCAAAGCACCTCAAGAGTATTTATCTTGGCAACCTTTTCATTATGAGGCACAGAAAATGAAAGCATTAAATAGTATGTCAAGCTGAAATAATTCATTCTGAGGTAAACGGCATTTGCCTTGCAAGCATTCTGGTGTGGTGTGGCATATTGGAATTGCTTTCAATCTATACCCTATCCCAAGCCTTCTCCCAACCATGGCTATCTCCTTCCTTCCTTCCTTCCTTCCTTCCTTCCTTCCTTCCTTCCTTCCTTCTCTTTTGTGAACACCTTGTTTTGTATTTCCTTGCAGTCCCAGGAACTGCAGTGGAAGGATGAAGAACTGAAGAGGAGAGGCACCTTCTATAAGGAGCAGTTGGCCCACATTGAGAAGAAGGTGAGGCAGTGTTGTCTTTTATTTGCAGTGGCTGAATGCTAACAAGATCAGACATCTATCTGAGTGGATCAGCAGAGAAGAGAAATGAGAACCATTGTGCTGAAACCTGGGACTGCCAGCCCCTATTATGTATCTGCTGGGGCCTCCTCCTCATCACACACTGTTAAACTGCTTCACAAGCTGAACCTTTTAAGCAACTCACATTTTAAAGGATAATTGGTTTTTAACTGGATGATTTTCTTTTTTTTTATTATTAAAAAAAGCCACCTCGTTTATAATTCATAGTCCCCCACCCCGACCCCATACTATGGGTTTGGTTGAAAGCTATGTCACCTTTTAAAAATTCCCTTTGTTAACAAAAATCTGTGGATTTTTAAAAAAAAACCTGTGAAAATAACCTCAGATCATTCCATACATATGAATTAAAGTTGTTATTATTAATTTATCTCTTGGGAAAGCAACAGATCAAAGTGTGTTGCTGCAAAATGTTGTCTGCTCCTTTGCTAGATAAGCCTTTGAAATGAACATGATTTAAAGAGATACCATCAAGCATCTTTTCAGCCTAAAATGACCTTTGGAAATCCATTTAGGGATTTGAATCTCTCCCCTGAATGTGTAGTTTGCATTTCTGTTTAATTGTTTACCAGGATGAGTTTTAAAAATTGATGGCATAAGAATTGGAGCAACCACATTATTCCTTAGGAACTAATGTGTTCTTTTCAATTCCTAGCTAAATGAAGCAATGCTCACAATAGCTTAAAAAATGTGTGAAGAATAATATTCCATAATTTTAAAGCAATTAAATCTCTTGACAGGCTTGGTACCTCTGAATTTGGGGGGGGGGTGTGGTTTCTGTTTTTTGAAAGTGGATACTTAATGTTTATAAAGGTGGGGTGAAATGTACCCAAACAACACTGATTTTTTAAAATAAAATATTGATATCAGTCTTCCGCAACCCTACGCTCCAGGTAGTTCTCAGTATGGCGAGGTGTGATTTGCTGTGTGGTGGTTTAGAGGCACCCTTTCTTAATTTAATGACATTTTGATGTTTTTATTCTGAATGGCTTTTCAGTTCTATTCTACCCCTATTAAACTGACTGACACAACTCAGAAACCAGGTACACAAGGTGCTAAGAGAAGTGTCCTCAGCCTAGCGAATGCTGTTAATAATAATAATAATAATAATAATAATAATAATAATAATTTATTATTTATACCCCGCCCATCTGGCTGAGTTTCCCCAGCCACAATGTTTAAATTTATTTGTTTCTCATCATGTCTGCAGAAGCTTAGCCAGTCTGTTCTTTCCATTTATTGTGAGAAAAGGAGAGTAGAGGGTGAAAAACAATATTATGTCTATTTTCATAATAGACAAATTACACTCTTTCTTTAATATCACTGCAAACTGCATTAGAGGTCAATGGTACCTCCATAGGTATACAAAACACCTTTACAAACCTGATTTCTCAAACTTTTTTTCCAGTTAGAACCAGAAAAATTGAATTGGAACTTTTTTTCATCATAGCTAGCATTTTGCAGAAAGCTGACTAATTCAGCTTTTGTGGTCACTGTGAGCCCAATTGCATCTGCAAATGCTTGCAAGCAACCTGCACTCTTACCCTAGCAAGTGGCCAGACTTAATAACTACTCTCAGGCAAAGATGTTTTAGTTGACCACTTTCCTCTGTTCATGGAAAGAGCTTCACATAATGTCTTGTTGAGGGTTGCCCTCAACACTTTCCAGAGCACAGTGCCAATGTCACTGGCCACTTTCAGAAGAATTAATAAAGCCCTCAGACTTGATGATCTGCTTCCATCCTGAACCACTAGTGCTGGAGACAAGCCTGCCTCTGTACATGACCTTTAGGATATGCTTACCAAGATTCTCCCACAATGCTTTGTGCCATATGAGAAGGTTTCAACTGATGAACTGTTATTGCCATCCAGAGGAAGTTGTCAAATGAGGCTGTATCCAAACCCACAAAGTATGGCATACAACTCTGGTTGTGTTCTGAATCCAAAATGTCATATGTTTATAACACAGGCATAAATGAAAAAGAGGAGGGAGGAGCCCAAGAAGCTCAAAAAGAAGACCAGGCTGTGGTTAAGAAACTAGCAACAAGTTACACTGTTCTGCTAAAACATGGGGTTTAGCCAAGGCACATTTTGTGACTCTTTCTGCCCCTGCACCACAGATTTGTGACTGGTGGGCCTCAGTAATTTTCAGCAATCTCAACTGCACCCTGGGGGTGGGGGTAGAAAGTTTGAGAATCCATGGTCTAGACATATAGCCAGTTTACCTGGGACTTCAAGAAAGGCAGCCTCAGAACTGGTAGGGGCAGCCACTGCTTATACCAAGAGAAGGGGAAGGCATCATCTCTGTTGTTGATGCAGCGACAAAGAATCACACCAACCATGTGCTTCATTCATGTAACCTTTTTGTCTGCCTTACTCAAACAGCTGTGAAATGTGATAATGTGCATAGCCTGCTTGAGTAGAGTGTGATATGGTTGCAAGATCTGTGAGGTTTGTTGTTACAGGTAATTCACAACTCATGATTATTTCAATTCAATACAGTAGTACCTTGGTTTAAGAACAGCTTAGTTGAAGAACAACTTGGATTAAGAACCCTGCCAACCCAGAAGTAGGTGTTTTGGTTTGTGAACTTTGCCTTGGAAGCAGAACATGTTTCGCTTCCTGTTGAGTGTGTTCCATTTGTAAATTGAGTCCCCTGCTGCTATGGGAAAGCACACTTTGGTTTAAGAACACTTTGGTTTAAGAACAGACTTCCGGAACGGATGAAGTTCATAAACCAAGGTACCACTGTACTTGTGCAACATGGTCTTTTAACTTGCAAATGCTGTCATACTTAATAACTTCCACCAAGTGTTTAGTTGTATGGCTTTCTTGGCCCCAGTCCCAGATTGATTTAGTCAGTTTGATGATGCGCTGAAGTCAGTGGTAGGTGGACTTCTTTTGGCAAGGGCGGATACTACTACTAATAATAGCAATTTTATTATTTATACCCCACCCATCTGTCTGGGTTTCCCTAGCTACTCTGTCCAAAGTATAAAACAGTGTTGCTCTACTACCAGAGGCCTCCCCCTCCTGCTTTGTTCTGGTTTAACTTTCAGTTTACAGTGATTATACAGCAGGATAGTGTTGGAGACGCAGGAGTGCCGCAGACGTTCATTATATGCGTCTGAAATGTCCCAAGAACAGTGGGTTTTGTGCATTGGTATGTTGTGTTACTTTGACAACCATAGCGTTAACAGAAGGACCATAGAGCACATTTTGAATGTTGTGCAGATGATGATCACAGATTTAGCCCTTCGCATCTCCAATAAGAAAGATCTCAAGTAGTCTGTGATAGGAAAGACCTCTGCCAAGAACCCAAGAGAGCTGCTACCAGTCAGCATAGACAATCCTGGGCTAGATGGAGAAATAAATCTGGTTGGCAATAGCTCAGAGTACCATGCAATTTTAGTCTGTAGAAAAAAGGCAGACCTCTTTCCAAGTGCCACCATTTCCATTTTCTTTTCGGCAAAACATATTCATAGCAAGTTGCCTTTGCACACTTAGCTACATCT